AGAACACTTGTCGGTCAAGTACAAAATAGTGTAGAGTAACTGCTGTGCATTTGTGTCTAACGTAATGATAAGAAACTTCATGCTGTAATATATCTAGAATATTGTCCATCTAAAAAGGTACGGTTGGCAGCGGAATAAGAGAAAGACATAATGAATAATCTAAAATAGACTAATTGCATGTCAAAAAATAATGGCTTTTATTTCGACGATACACACTTATCGATTTCTGAACATAAAGTCTCCGGTGACAACGTGTTCTTGAATCTGCACTGAGGTCGTAAAAAATAGTCTGAGTTTAAGAAATGCGAAAATTTTCAGGGGTTGATAACTAACGCATTTTTTAGAGTTAAGGCGTAGGATTGTTGAAGTCAGCTTATCACATTAAGTGATATACTTGGATAGAGAGTTTTATCAGTCAATGTATTTTGTACTTGTACATTACCAGTTAACATCTAAGGACAATTACAGGTGCAATGTAGAAGGATAGTAAAAGAATTTAAAGTATCTATGCTTAATGGGCAACATGTTTCTGACTAATAATTTCAACCAAGTCGGCAGGTGTACTTGAATCTAATGTTAATTCCTATTGATGCTCAGTGCTTCCTGGTTCTTTAATGAATCTTCTGGCTGATACTTAACAAATAGAACAAGACTGCATTGTTTCTACTCGACTAACGGCTAGTAATTCAAGTGTAATAACTTTGAAGTAATTTCTTTTCAGTAGTTTTGAAAAGATACTGTGCCTTGTTAGACGGCATGCATCCCCACACAGCCAACGAGAAATACTCTCATAAATTTTCAAGTGAACAGTCACAACCTTCCACTTTGAACAAGGTAAACATGTCGTACTTTAATTTCCACTGCTGTAAATAAACACTGACCAACTAATCAGACAATAAGTGAAACACAGTGATCCAACAGTGTCCAACACATAGGACTTGACAACCACATCGGTTAATATACGGTGAAATAATTGGTTTATTGGTAAAGTCTCTAATTTAAGCACTAGGCCATTTGAGGTTGAGTATCTGAAAGAAGATAAATTTCCTTAAGATTGTGGCTAATCAGTGTCAACAAACCCCGATGGCTAGGTCTAAGACTCCCTGCTAACTGACTTCAAAATGGAATTTCAGTACACAATAAGATAACCACGACTCACTAGTTCAACATCTATTTACTACATGAATCATTCTTCTGCTACAGTAAAAGCTTTAAAACTTTAAGTAGTATTCCAGTATACATGTCTTTAGTTGCTACGGTGTGGTAAATATTAGAAATCACTAAGAAGACAAAATTGGTAGTTAATTTATCAGATGGGCTAATATCACTGAATTCATTTGGATAGAACGAAGGAATGAGAAGTTTCAATAAAACAATCTTATTTTCTGATAACTTTTTCAGAGAACAATTTATCAATGTACATACATGTAGATACAAAGTTTGACTAGCTGACTGTAACTTGATCAATTTTTTAAAACACCCACTACTGGTCTGTAGAATTCGAAGTAGAGTAGCTCAATACTTTATAGTAAACCTATACAGTATTAATTTTTGAGGGTTGAAAGCTATTAAAAAGAAGGCGAGAACATAGTTTTTACGTACTTTAATGCCAAATTAACAAGCAATTACACTGAATCTCGGTTGGGATAGCATCGGTACGGTTATCTAATAGCGAACAACGCAAACTAAACGGTGAATCATTCTATCCTTCAACTTGAATCAGTATGGATAAAAACTAATGTATCGCTCCTCTCTGACTCTTTTATTCAATATAGTCTGACTGGAATAAGACGAAGCTGAAAATTTGATATGACAGAGCACAACACACCAATGCACATTGCTCATTGATATTACAGCTGATTACAGTGACTGAAAACAAATCGGATTCTGACTAGTAGTTGTAGAGTGTAGGCATAGTTGGTAGAGCACCATATTAGTAATCTGGAGGTTGTTGACTGAACTTTCAACTTCAATCCTCCTTCTGCAATAAATTTTGGTCATTCGGCTAGAAATGAATTATTATTCCTTACTACTTTAATATGAGCTTGAAAGCAACACTGAATGTATACACACATCGAAAACACTGGCATGACAGCTTTTTTGTACATAAAACTATAAGATGCTGTATTTCGGTCTGATAAAGTGACATTTTCTTGACCAAATATTAAAACATTACATCTGAAAATTCCTATCAAATTCTTACCAATTGAATATTATCAACAGAATATCTAGCACATACCACAAGGATAGAACTATCAGCCCTATTTAACGTACATTTCAATAACAGTTGGGTGGGAAGGAGTGGTGAAAAAGTGCGTAATTTTAATGAAAATTATATAATCGAACTCACAAAGTTGTGTAAGGGTTTAAAAGGAGTAGTCATCTGAAGAGACAACACGAAAAGGCATCCATCAAGGATGCCCACTGCCATTATTCCTCTTCAACTTTGTTGTGGAAGTGCTAATGGAAATAATCCTAAGTACCTGAAACTTTAAACGGAATAAATTACCCAAGAGTGCACCTGGTTGATCTGGAGTACGAAAACGACAACTATAACTCGACTTAGTACCAAATAATTCAGTCGATTAGTTCTAATGAACATTGGTATTATTGGTATTATTGCGTAACGGTCCAAGTTGACACACCTCATATCAACACATCAATCGAGAAGACAGTCAGATAAAAGATGAAGAAATAAAGTAGAAAGTAGTCAAAATAAATTCAAAGTCATGAGAAGGGAGGAACTGCTGATAGAACAATAAGGGAACTCCCTATAAAGATAATGACGGAGATAATATATATGGATGTATCTCCACCTCTGAGATCAAATCTGAACCATACCACCTACAGTCACACAAACTCCTACCACAAAGTCTACATTCCCCTACACAGCTCAGATCAACACTCAGACACTTCATGAACTGACACCAGGTTTCACTCTGACCACCTTAAACCTTTCCTCCAGCCAAAATATACTTCAGTTAACTTTGAAAACAAGTCAATATACACATGAGAACAAGAATGTTTGTTACTTTGGATTGTGTTCACTGGTCTGCACACTTAAATTGAAATGAATAGTTGATAGGTCATTGGTGAGAGTTTTCTTGCACTAATAAGTATTTTAGACTTCTCTCTAATCCTACACAACTATTTATGAGATATAGTCAAAATGTGAATGTGTGCATCATTTTCACATCAATGATGAGCTATCTAAGTGGATGGATGATATTGTCTTTGATGTATTCAGACTTCTTGCCGATTATCATCGTATGCTTTTCGCGTATCATTATAACACGATGGACTGACTGAAGAGTCAAAAAGGAGAGATATGCTTGACTAATTCTCACTACATCTTCCGATATCTACACCACTAATGACTAGTGTTTGTGTACAAAAAGCAGTTGTGACAGAAAATGTGTTAGCTGGATAAAGATTAGCTATTCACTCGACACCTTCAGCCCAATCAGTTTGTTGCAACAAATAAATAAATAAATAAATAAAGATTCGAAATTGGTGGAACCTAGTTCTAATGGAACTATCCTTGGATACACACGACTTTACAGAGATTCATCTACTAGTTGGAGATGTGGTTGACTTTGTATATGAGGACGACATGGTCGTGTTATGCGAAGACGCTGACGAAATGCAGAGTTTTGTGAACGCCTTGTGAGTATGTTTGGGTTGGGTAACATGAATTTCGCAGTGTTAAGTGTAGGATGATGCTTCAGGACTTGTGTGCATCCACTCGGATTTTCAGGATAAAGAGTGAAGAGTGGTGGAATACATCGACCACTTGACTTACTTGGTGAGTTGCATCAGGTGGAATTGGCTGGTTGCTGACTAAGTCTGAAGTCGGATACAGAGGGCTCGTTTGTCATTTGTCAACTGGTGAGTTAACTGACTGTTTGTTAATGGTCGTGTCTACTGCGGTGTTGGCTGTTCCATCCTGTCATACGACTTTGAGGCCTGCAGTTAAAAGTAGGAATGGCTGCAAGTAATTGATGTTAATTGTCTTCGTACCATTTTTTTGGTACAGTGGATTCACTGTGCGAATAATGTTGAGGTTTGGCGAAGTGTAATAGACAAGGCAGGCAAGTCAGTTAATGACGATGTGAACCTTCAGCGATTGAGGTAACTTGTACGTTGGATGCTGTCCCAAAGCCTACTCCCACGTACAATACCAGTCGAAGTAGGACTCGGTTAGAAAAAAGTTCAGATTGATACTTGGTATCACTTCAGGAAGACTGTATGCCTGAAAAATGTAGTTAAGTCCTAAATGCCTGATTACAGCCATCGAAATGGTGGGAATCAGTGGTTGGAGGCTCTTGGTGATGTAGCTAAAAATCGATCAATATAGCGGAAACGAATACACTGTTTGGCATCTTCAAACTGTTAAACATTTGGTTAATTTTCAGCCATTTGTTCCTCATCTGCGTAAGCATTTGTTTACTTTAGTATTACTTTTTCTATACACTTATTCCTTGCATGCTGCTATGAAGTATAGCAACTGAAACCGATGCACTACTGTACCAGGTTCTATGTTGATTTTCGCGGTGTAAGTGGTAAGGATTCAACTGAGACAAGGACAATTGGTAGACTCATCTAGTAGATTAGAAAGAGCACCGAGTTTACGAAATATTCACTAAATACTAGTTACGGAATTAGTAAAGTTCACTCTTTAGTAAGGACCTCCATCTTATGCAGTTTATCAAATATTCACCTTTATTAATGTAAGACTATAGCGTTATAAAAATTTTTCAAAAGTTGGCAAATAAGTATTGTTGCATCTCACTCCAACAATTAACGAAAGTGCGACTCTCACGACACTTTAATATCTTGGAAGGAGTCTGGGACTATTACATAAGTATGTGGTGTCAGGGAATCCCAAAGGCATAGATTAAAGTAAAATATTTTCTTTGAAAAATGTAGTCAGATGGTACTTGGAGTCAAAGCAGCAATAGTGGTAATAACAGCTGTTTTAGATGACAATTTGAACTAACCTTTCAGAATGACGACAAAGTAAGTGTCGACAGCTGTGCTGATTGTTATTCAAAGCGCAGGGATCAGCTTCAAATGCCAAAAGTGCACGAATAATATGAATCGAAGAATTATACTGAAGAAAATTGAAAAGTATACAGAGAAGTAACAATGATCAGGATGGAAAAAGTGAAAAGCATTTTCAGTATGAATTATTAATACAAATTGCATGTCACTAATCGATTTGATAGTTTTTTTTTCAGAGCAAGAGTAACAAGAATTAATCGACGAAGACCATTTATATCACCAACATTCTCTGACGCAATAATATCAGTGTCTGAATATAAGTAAGAGAATACATTAGAATATATATAACCTCAGCTTACTTAGGAAGTCAAAAGACTATTCTGAACACAATTAAATGCAAAGAAACACTACTCAACAACATGAGTAGTTAGAAACCATTCACGCTGACGATCTGTAGATTCCGCTGGTCAGATCAGTGATCGAAACACTGGACAACCGTTTTGTGAATTTAAAGACAAACTCCTCAACGGTGTACCAGGTCCCAATCAGTAAACAAAGTCGAATCATACAGATCAACTGAATCTGGCTACCTAATGTAACTTACTAGTTCATGACACTTCTACCGAGGTCAAAACTTCGTGATCTGCGAAGTGTTGAAACCATAGTGGGGCAGTTGAAAAGCTACTTAGACGTGAGGAACGTCAATATGAATCGCGTGATTTGCGAATAATTTGCTAATTTTCCACCGAAAGTCGACTTCTCAGAAACAAATACAGACTGCATCGATATACTTTACTTACATGCTCCACAATAATCAAGTTTTGCGCATTCATATAATTATTTTGCTAAAGATAGGCATGAAGAAAAGTGAATGAAATTCTTGGCCTAATCAAACACAAGCAGAATGTATAAAATGCTGTGGTAATAAAAAAACACAATAAAATTGGTCGATCAGCAACAACAAACAAATCTGTCGTCGTCTCAACATAAGAAGAGGATGCTTTAATAATCCTAAAAACAATAAGGAAAGATAGCAAAAATCAACGTAGAACCTCATACAAAAGTATATCGGTTCAAGTTGTCACAATTCACAGTAGCACCCAAATAACAAATTCATAGAAAAAGACTGATATCAAAGTAGAAGAAGGTGTATGAGAGAATGAACAAATAGTCAAGCTTTAGAAGAAGTCAAAGAATGCATGCATCTGTGCCATTGTGACACATTTCCAGTCGTGTCAACAAGACTCATCAATTACTCATCCCTATGATCTCAGGAACTCCAACCAAATAGTCTAAACCTCAATACACAACTCAGACCAAATGTTGGAAGCTTCATACATTGGTGTCGCACCCTCGTCTGGTCACCCTGAATTCTCTTCCAATCCAATCTAGCTCCCCACACCCCTCCCCCAACATGTTACATCGTGGTAAGCAGTGCCTCAACACGCACAGTACAGCACAGCACAACATATCCCCCCCCTCTCTCTCTCTCACATACACACAGTCACTGAAGGTTCACAACCTCATCGATCATCTATCCTTCCTTGCCTCTAGTATTCTGCGCCTAACTTCGACACTGCCAACATCGTGATTCCACCATACGCGAGAGATGCTACGAAGACATCTATGGTTAAAGACCTGTAACAACTTGATATCTTTTATTTTTAACAGCCGTATCTCGGAGCCATATATATATATATATATATATATATTCAGTGCAGTATACTCGTGCTTTAATAGATAGTCGAATAATATCTCTTCAGTCGGCACCATAGATGACTTCAGCTGGGAAATGCCAAACCCGGCTCCTGTATCCCGTTCGGACTATTGTAATTCTCTAAGTTATTGAAGTAGTCTACACATTCCACCACTTCACTCCTTACTATCAAGCTTGGAGTCGTTCCAGACCAGTCCTGGAGCATCATCTTACATCTGACATGTACCAGCGAAATCCATGCTAAATGTACTCAGATTTCTACTCAACGCGTTCAGATACTGCATTTTGCCAGCGTCCTCACCTAGCAGGACAATATCGTCTGCATACTCGAAGTCAACCACATGACCTCCAGGGAATAGGTCAATCCCAGTGAAGTCAGACATACCGAAGGTTATGTCAATTAGTACGTCAATGATGAGTTTGAATAGGAACGGTGACAGTGGGTATCTTTGTGGGAGACCACTAGTTATCTTCAGTTCATATATAACTTCCCATATGCCCTGACACGGCTGCGTGAATTCGAGTAGAGAGCTTTGATTGGGGTTACATACTTGGTTAATACTCACTTCAAAACCAGGAACACCTACAACGCCTTACTGCTGACAGAATCAAATACCTCCGTCAGGTTGAAATATGGCAAGTGTTGGTGGCCAGTAAGTATGCCTGCGTTCCAGAACCTGTCGGAGAGTGAAAATATGATTAGTGCGCCCTCATTCAGATCTCAAACCTACATGATTTTTTCGAGTTCCAGTTGCGCGTCGGTTAGCTATGGATCCTAGGATCTTGGAGAGAATACCGGTTAAACTAATTCTCCAATGGTTGCTACAAGAAGACTTCTCCTCCTTCTTGTAGACTGGGATGATCGGTGAAGTACACCAGTTTGAAGGTACTACTTCCGATTCCAATACACTGCCTAGTACCTCCGTCACTCTTATCAGCAATTTCCTACCTCCATACTTGAAAACATCAGGTGGCAAACTGTCAGGTCCTGCTGCTTTACGTCGTTTCAGGTTCAAGTCACATGCTGAGCAACTGACGCGTTGCTATGGGGGCAGTTGAATTCTGCTACAAAGTGTTCTGCTCAACGCTGTAGGTTATCAGAATCCCATCCTTTTCGGTGATGGTTCCACTCACCATGATCTTTTCGCCGGTTTCAATAAAAAGCCTAAATAATTGGGGGGTTGTTACCTAATCGCGATGCTTTGTCTATTTCTCTCGCTTTCATTACTCACCACTGCTCACGATCATTGCGAAGACTTTCATTCAATTTACGTTTAAGTTACCTTTTTTCTTCACCGTGGTCACAGCCAGCTGGAATGAGTCTTCTTGTATCAGTCAGTTCGGGTGACGTTGGAGAAGTTCACTGACGTTTGCTAACCTTTGGATGTAGGCTACCAAGTGTCTTTATCGCTGTTTCTGCAGCAGACTGAATACCACACTAGGTTTCCTCAGGATGAGCATTGCTGTTAGGTTCGAATAAATAATAAGCTATTTCCTGTTCATATACTTCACTTTCTTATCTTTCAGTCCAGCACAGACAGGCCTTACCGACGCCCATTTTCTGTGAACAGTAAGGTGCAGACACACCCAGTCCCGTACTAGCGTGTGATGGGAGTCCAAATAGGTGTTCTAGAAAGAGTGCGATCCCTCACTGATCCTCTTCAACGATGGTTTATGGCAATATGATGTATGTTTATTCAGTTTGTTTAGTAGAGTTAAAAATAATATGACATACGCTCTTCTTCTTGGAAAGGAAAGGTTAGCAATACTGATGCACAACCACAGAGCTTAGTTAACATCTACTTGAGGTCGATTATGCACGGCCCTTTTGCAACTTTCAGATTTAGGTCGCTTTTTTCCGATTCCAGCTATCCTCATATCGCTGATTACACAACATCATTAATGTCACATTCCAGCCAGTCAACAGTACGACGTCTTCCTCAGACCCCCATCATAGCGTGCCAATTTGGACTAAAAAGGTAACTGCTTTCCGTCATACCACTACCCAAGTGAACTTTCTGAAATGGTAGAACCTCTAGGGAATAAGCGTTCCACCAGCATAGGTCGTTGGGTCATTTTGATACATAAGACCAACTACTACTTCAAGAAACCAGCTTTCGGTCGGGAGGAGATATGGTTTATGGGAGAATTATTAAGATTTGATAGAACCGGTGTTAGAGGCGGAATAACGACAAAATAATAAAGCATATATCATAAACCAGAAAAATCAAATTTGACAGATGTTTAAGAAAGATATAAGGAACAACGGAATGGAAAATAAAGGACAAAACTACCAAGAAAGAAAGCAAGTCACAGTTATTAGATTACTGCTGCTCCGGCAGGCAGTATCAAATTTCATCTATCCTGTCATTTAAATAAATGGATAGCTGTGTCTAAATTTACATGATTCAGACCAAGAATATACTTACTTGGGGAATTACTAGTCAGTCTTGGATCTCTTAGTGAAGGGTTCTTTGATGTATGTTAAAGGGTTCTGTGTTTTTAAACCGTAAATGCTGTCAAATGGTTGTCAGTTACCCATTTTCTTATTTCATAGCCTGCAGTTCCCTATTGTTGACTGAATCGAATTGGTCAGTCAGTCTTCTGTGTGAGATCTGGATTCCACTGTTAGTCACTGCTTATCGATAGCCCTTGTCACCTGAAGCTTTTCTAATATTTTTTCACTGCCTTGTTAGCCATATTCACTGAACTCTAGTGAATTAATTTGGACTTGATTCTAACAAACCACTATGTAAATTCTATTCACACTATGAATAAAAATGCTTACTGAAAACTTGAAGAAAAACGTAAAAGTAAGAAGTAAATACCTCATTATGAAGTTATACATATCTTAGCAGTTTGTTTTTAGAGCTAAAATATTACATGCCTAATCCTGAAGCAGTTTTTCTCATTTTGACCAATGGTTTCATAATAAACACAGAATGTGAAAATGACTTAGTCCATTAAAGGAGAAATTCCCCCGAATGTCCTGAGTGGATGTCTGAAAAAGTGCATTTTTTGCATGCTAAATGCAAACTGGTGGGCGATTTAGCCACTGTGACTAACATAGTAAGACCATTCGATCACTAAAGAATATTACCAGCTACCATGGTCTAGTCACCAACGTATTCAATTATATTTATTCCATATAAGCAGTTATTACGTGTAGGATTTGGTGTGATTTATTGAATATTAAAGAGTTACACAAATAATCGTAAAATTTTTCATGCGATCCAACTAAATCGGTTTTAAAACTTTAGTAATGAAATCTCAATAGCCCAAATCCTCTCAATAAACACGTCCATATCCATGTACTAGACGACAATGAGAGACACTTACTGTGCACAGGCTAAGGACACTGACTGATAAGACGTCGGTAGATGGAGGGGGTT